GAGGTGTGTCACATTTACTTTAAACCAAAGTGTCCACTCTCATTGTGGAAATCAGGTCTCCTATTAGCCATATTAGCAGCAATACGTGCCATGGCAATTTTTGTAACCACAATAGTGAAATCAGATGGTAACTATCATTACAACGAAACTGCTATATTCATGCAACTGACATAGGTATTTTGAAGGCAAGAGCACTGGATTTTCTGATTATGCGTAATTTAATGCTCACAAATGATTCCTGCAAATTCCAGAAACTGCGAATATTTGGTAACTACTTCATAATAAGAGAAGCGGTGAACAAAAATTTATAGTTGACTTCAGGCTTCACAGAGGAGGAGGAGGAACATCAAAGTGAAATAAGTCGAGAGGAGGAAAACTGAAGGGTGTTTTAAAGACGAAGGTTGAAAATTTAGAAAAAAATGTGACGTAGTACTGTGAAAGTGGTCGAATATGTCATACAGTGGGGTCATGGTAGTTTGAAGTTGCCCAGGGTGCACCACGTGGAGGTAAGTCTATCGCACTCCCCACACCTGTTTCATAAATGCGTTGTAAATGCAGAAGCTGGGGTTTCTTTCTTCATATGCATAATTGCAGTACTGATGATATGGGCTGGAATTTATGGTTTCTGCGCATTTTTAAGTAATTTCATCACCGTAGATGCTACCGTTTGTAATTCGACGCCTTCTTTTCTGAGATAAATCTTGAGGAGGAACAATTGAGATGTCCTTATCAAGTGTTTCAAATTCCAGGTTGGAAGATAGATGGTGTGGAAATGCTCAGTCCTGTTGACAATGAACCAGACGATGCCCCAAACACTGTCTACCGATTAAGTACACGATACCATCTCTCAAATGGCGACTTTTATTGGATTCGACTACATTCACTCACCCCAGTTACAGTCCTTTCAGATCATCGTAAGTAGATCTAATGTTCATTTCGATATTTTCGGCTTTCTATATAAATTGGTAGCCTTCGAGCCAGAGAAGTTTGATGCCATATTATATGCATTTAAAATAGCAATAAAATTGTTTCTCTTATGTATCACTAATGTATGGCTTTGGATCGATAGTGTTTAATTTTAACCTATAGAATTGCAGCGTTAATTGCTAAACTAAAACTGAAAAACTTAATGCATGTCAAATTGACGGAAGGTTCCAGAATTCCCTGGCATAGGAAGGACTTATAGAATTGCAGCTCACAACAATACTGCAAGCTGCAATTTAGTTATTATTTAGCCTCACAAGTCTTCTCCGACCTTTACAGCGCCAGCTAAAACATTCCCCACCTTGACAGTCACGCTGTGGTTCTGGATTGTCGGTTGCATCAGTATGGCTCTGGTACTGCTATTCATCTGTTGCTGGGCCTGTCTTCGGCTATGCAGGCAACAAAAGGTGGAGAGAAAAACCTCCTGGCGTCGCAATTACTCCGCCTTCCATCCTGTGGTCGCTAAATCACCCACCGATTCTAGCCAGGTGATGAGTGATAAGGTGCAGTACTACCCAACTTTAATGAATGGGAGCGGTCTAACTCCGAAACCTCGTCGTTTAAGAGCTTGTAAGATTTTTTTACCACCGAGTTTTATAAAGACTTTCTTCTAAACTTTTTCTCATTTAGATTCTTTAACGGCCAATGTTGCATCAAGTGTTACCACGGACAATCATTGGAGAGCTAGAATGCTAACTCTTCAAGCATACCAATCTGTAAGGTAAGTTTTTAGGGGGTGGGGAGGTAACTTCAAATTCATACTATTTTCACCTCCCTTTTAATCTCTTTTTTTTAAAATCTTCAATAGACGCCGTAGTGCATTTGATTCTGCAGTAATAAGGAGAGCATCCATGGGTAGTAACTACTCCCACGACGAGAAGGAGGATATTGAAAAGATTTTTGTGACCCCAGAAGGCGACTCGGTTATTACCCTGTCTACAAATCAGGGCACTTCAGTTAAACAGTGGAGCACTTATGTAAGTACCGTCTTTTAACTAAATTAAAGTACTTATTTGGGGGGAGATGGGGGTGGGGTGGGGTTGGAGGTTTGGTGCAGGGTGGGGTGGGGGGGGGGGGGGGGTAATTAACAGGAATTTACAATTATTATACTTGACCTTTACCTTCAAAGGCAGCTGTCGCCTTGATTCAATAAGGAACTGAATTTGCTTTTCTACATAAAAGGAAAGCCGACACAAAGTGAGTGATCCAGTGGTTTATATATAAAAGAAGTTAAACTCTGACTTTCCAAGGTTTGCGGATTTCCACCTAGGATCTAATGTGACCAAATATGTACTTTCTTTCCGGTGTTAATTGAAAAAAAAACAAATTTTAATCAAATCCTAAAAGCCACTATATTTGCACGGTAAATAATTCATATTCTTTAAGCTTTGCTACTTCGACAAATTGGTCATTTATTTGTCACTTAAAAGTTGAGAGTATACCATTTTTCGATTATGAAATTTGTTCACATGGCGTCATTGGCAAAGGAAAGCTGTAAGGCCAACTATTTATTGAATAAATGATTAAACTTTACATTGGGAACTCATCATAACTCGTATTGTGTTCCACAATTCTGAAAATAGGAGTTAAGCGTTGAAATGCATTTGCTAAATTAGACAGCAATGTTTGGCCTTGAAAATTAACAGTATTCTTTTAAGTAGTGAACAGAAAAGATATTCAAAATTTCAATTTTATTCAAATGCTAGAATTTTGCCGTACTATGGAGGTATTTCTGCCTTGATGCGGTGGTGGAATACTGTGCATCAACGGTCCATGGAAGGCTGAACTTCCGTGTTGAATTTCGTGGTGAAAAAAACTGTTGAATAGACTTTCCTTGCTCTTAGAACAATCGTTTAGTAAGAGCTGAACAATATTTAACTTTTTTTGGGATTTATGCAAAGCATTGGGTTCACTCCCAAACTAAACAAATAAGAGTATGGTCGTGAGAACATAAATTGCTCTGGAATATGACCAACTACATTTGACAGTTCTTTAGAGCCTCACAGAGCAATTTCAAAGACCCCAACGAAAAAAATAACTTTAAATAGAGGGGTTAGACTTGAATTTAATAAAGCACTCTATTTCTTTCAATAAATATTGATTATGGTAATATTAGACGAAATATATTTAACCAAGTAAGGATCTGATGACCAGATATTTGCGTTGTGTAAAACTCGAATGGTCACTGAATGTGAAGATTGCCTATGCTCCATCACCTAATCGAAAGGCCAATCTCAATATCTCCCTCAAAGGCTTCAAACTATCTACTGGATTATATGCTATGTAAATGGTATATGATAAAACAGTCTAGGGGGATGTGAATTAGGTATCTATTCAAATAACTGATCACAAGATCGATCGAGTGAGCTCTTTAATCTACCTCGATTCCACCAGACAACGTTTAGCGAAAATTAGGTCTTTTCTGAGATGAGACGTATTGCTGATTAAACCCCAAAACAATGAAATTGGTCACATTTATCGAATCTGTTTTTCTATGCTTCTTATATTCACTTCTTCATCGTAAGGTGGATAAATACGGTATGGCTGTGCAGAGCTCTACTCAAAGAATAGAGTTAGAATTGCAGTATAAAAAATATATATCTCCATGTTCTTGCGGTAAAAGTCCATCTTAAAACTTATCTATAAAAGAGATTATATTAAATCGATTAGCAGTTCTTTATGGAGAAGATGTTGTGTTGGTAACGGACCTATTGTAATCTCACCAGAATTAGGAGATCCTAAATCTTCACATGTAAAGGGTAAAAGTGAGATGACTTTAAGGAGATGTTCAATAAGAAATTAGACAGAATAAGACCATAAATCATAAAAAAGTAATTCTATTCTTCACATTTTTGGCCATCAAACATGTCTGAAAGATTCATACCAAGGAAAAATCGTGTGAGTAGATTCTCGTATCATGTGAAAGCTCTAGTAGAGCGATCTACTGATGATCTACCAAATGGAAGACATCGTTGTCAAGTAGGTGGGTGCGACAAGAAGTATGTGTACAAGGTTGGCTGCAAAGTCATTGTGAAAAATGACAATTCTGGACTCAAATGAAGTAGAGTTCTCCTGTTGCCTTAACTTGCTCCGCTATGAGCCATCATTTACAATGAGTTTCAAGAGTTGCTCATAAAAAGTGCCGCATATTCTTTTAGCCAATGCTAATCACAAAAATCTTTTGACTAAATAAATAGCATTTTAGCATGAGTAGTTTAACTACCTTATCTCTTCTATAATGGAAGCGTTATCTCGAATCGCAAGAAGTAGGTTCACAGCTGATGATTTAGTGAAAAATTGCCAATTAAGATCGTCAAAGTAAGTTCGTATTCTTGTTAACTTCCTACCAAGTCATTAGGTAATTTATAATAACAGACAGTCATACCCAGTTGCTTCGGTTTTGTGCGTCTGTTCGATTTCTTTCCCCTTTCCAGGACTTTAATAACCGTTTTCTTTCGTGCACTGATACTATTTGGCTTGCTTACAATGCCGACAGACAGAGATTTATCGCTCTCTTTGCTAAGGTGACCCATGTTATAATGCCGATCGCGTAGACGCTTGACAACCGACCTCACTGTGCATTTCCGACGCTGTCTTTTAAGGGCTCTGAAAGAAAGTTTAGAAGAGAAGGAGGAATCATTTCATCTAAAATAAATTGTAAACGGGATGCCTGGGAACTTTACAATAACTCTTGCGCAATAGGTGACGAGGTATCTTGGGCTCAATAATAGTGTAATGATTTTTATAATAATAAGATGTAGCTTGAATCGATACAATGGGGAGGGAATCGAAAAGAGAATTGGAATCAACATCGGGATATCAAAGAGTCATTAACTTTATTTTAATATTTGAACTCGGATTTGCACAATATTTCCCAAATGGGCAATTCACATTCCAAATATTCAAATCTCCACTGGGTGGCAGCAATCGCTTCAATGTGATGTTTAGTACTTACTAATAAGCTTTGTTTCATTTAGAAGAGTCGTTCTTGTCCCATTATTTCGATTTCATTCCACTGATTGGTCGAGAAGACAACCAATCATCTAACTCGCACATTGTCAGATGAAGTGATTGGGTTAGCTGAGAAGAGGTGGCTAAAATCGTTGCGTTGGCAGGGTTCTGTGAGGTGTGTCTACTTAGAGAGACTTAGTGAAAAAATTAATTACTTTTAAAGTATCACCATTAATTATACATTGAAACGAAATGAATTATTAGCATCAAACGATTGATTAGAATCAATAATTCAACAGTATATGGATATGTGCAATTTTAATGAAGATAGATTTGGTAAATTTACAAGACTTTCAATTACTTGGTTGTTGATAACAAAGCAACCGACAAAACATCTGAAATGAAGTCGATAAGGAAATGCGAAATGAGCGGTAATTAAGGCAATAATACACAATCTACGCCATCCAAACGAATCTTATTTCTTTTTTTCTCAAATCCCAAAAATTTTTTCAACGTTTTTTATTTCTCCGTTTGCATGTCGAGCTCTATATATTTTACTAAATTATCGCAAAATTTAGTCCAAATGGCATAACTGATGAATACGTAATGTCTTGGTCCGATCTTATTTCTTGAATCACTTAAAGTTCACACATGCCTGGCATTTTATCGCATAAATAAAAGGTTTTCGATTGCCCTTTAATGATACTGAAAGAAAACGTGTTCTCCCTTTTTTTTAGGATGGAAAGTATACTAGAGAGATTCTTTCTCGAACGGATGACTTTACACAAAGTGGAAATTCAAGACTACTGGTACTGCAAGGGAATGAAAATCTTCTGCTCACAGACGATCGCAACTTTGCTCAATTATACCCCCTCCGGGGACAGATACCTGTAGCGTCCGTTCAGCTACCTTCAACCGTCTGGGGTGCGTTTCCTCTAGGCGAAGAATTTCTCTTTGTTTCCGATCCAATGACGGGATACGAAAAGGAGTCTTTTGCCACTCTGCACTTTTGGTCACCTTCGAATAAGTCCATTGTGCTTCAAAGTAAACTCAAAGTTAGACAACAATGGCTCGCTAAAGGTTTCTCCCTCCAGGGTGCTAAAGAACTTCCCCCATTATTAGGCCCCAATCAAGCTAATCTCCTACTAAGGTGGAACCGTCCTGGTCTTCAAGATATTTCCTTCTCTATAGCAGTCGATCTCCTCTCAATTTTCAAACCTCCACATGGCTTCAGAAAATCTTCGAATGGTCTAGATTCACATATATCAACATCTCTAGTAAAACATGACATCAATCTGGAAAAAACAGTGTTTCTGGCTAATGATATTGTCGTCACGGGTGATGTACATGGAGCTTTGCACATTTGGAATGTTCATTCCGGCGAAAATTACCGATCTGTTCAGAGCGATCCTATTCCTTTCGATGGACCACTTCTTATTAATCCAGGCCATCATGACTTCTCCCAAATGAAAATGGATTCCGAGACGGGACCAATAGCAACACTGGCTGCAACTGAACCTAGTCCTACAGAAACCGGTACATTCACCTGGTTCTCTTCGGGAGATGATTCAGGCTGTGTCGTTGTTCGTAGATGCGTTATTTCTGCAAATGAGTCATTAAAGAATGTCGCATCGAGAATTCATGCCAAATTCCGACCCTATTCTCGAACAACTCTTGCCTACTCTGCAGACGCGGTCACATGTGCAAGAATGTTGAATCGTGCCAATTGGAGGACAAATAAGCCTGAGGCATTTTTGGCTACTGGAGACTCGTCTGGTTGTATTCGCATTTGGTTGCTGCCTCAGTGTACTCAATTAGCCCAGTTATCCGCCTCATGTGAATCAGGACTTCTAGATCTTGAGTTGACAGAAACTCCTCCTTCCCTCACCGTGCCATGCCAGTGGTTGCAGGTTGTGGGTCTAGTGAGACGAGATAAAACTTTTGGAACTGGTTACGAGCATGGTCGTGTTGTTATCATTCACTTAATTGCCAATGAAGAGAACGGTGTGCCCAATGCAATGCACACCCCTCAACTTCGCATTGTGGGTAGGCCGTAAATGGACTTGAAATATAACCATCTTACCCCGGCTAACCGCTATTATCAGTCAATCGTACAACTTCATGTTCTTTTTGTATTTTGTGTACAGTTTCCTTTAATTTTATGACTACCATTTCGCGCGTGTGTGTGTATGTGTGTGTAAGCGTGCGTACGTGCGTTATTTCCGTAATTTTCTCCATATCTCTCCTTTTCCCTCTCTCTCCCTTTCTCTCTACCCACCACCCCCCCCCCTCTCCACCCCCTCTCACCTCCCCAATGTAGCTTGAACACCTTTTTCCCACATCTTATAATAATATTCCTACCTCCTGTTAAGCAACGCAGCGGTTTTAGTGCCAATTTACAAAATTAGATGATAATTAGCTTATGCTCGGTATGTAGGCTTTATTGCAACAGAATAAGTACCCTTGACAAATAGTCAGCATTAGTTCCAGCACGTTTTAAGTGGTGGCTTTTATTATTACAAGAATTTTAACAAAAAGATCTCCAAAATACTGTGAATTTTTATTACAAATAAAAGAAAACGCCAATTGATTTGACCTTCCTGTTGTCTTGTGGTTGTGATTTGAAAGAGTCACGTGACCATCTTAATACTAACCTTTAGTTTAAATAGGGTAATTAGAAATTTGAATTCCCATAGATTAAATTCAATGTAGAATTAATGAGGAATTTAGTTTAACCATTGTTTAAACTAA